GCTAAAAACTGTTAGATAACATTCCTAAAGCTAGCCAACAAGATCTATTCCCTCATCTGACCACTTCCTTCTCTTGAGGTTGACTACCAAGGTCCAGCTATTGAAGTATTAAAGTCCAGAATTCAATACCCTGTTTTTGGCTCATCTAATTAACATGGCCAATCAAAATACACCACTTAACCTAGTCCATTCTAACTCAGACCTCCCCCATTTCTCCTCTTAAACAATCACACCTGCAAGGTCATTTGTTGCTGATTTTCTGCCTGAGTCAGAAAGTAGTCACTTTAACTTCTGTTCCCTGCTTAATAAAGGATCTCTCTGTGAAAACAAGTATTTGGGTGTGGTTTCTGCCTGATCTAGGGTTCAGGAAGGAACCCTGACGTGCAGGGGATCTCCTTCAGAGGGGCTAACCAGACTTACAAGTAGTTCAAGTAAGAATGCCCCCCACATAGGCTCATACATTTGAATACTTTGTCCCCTGTTAGTGGAACTGTTTGGGAAGGATGAGGAGGTGTGGCTGAGAGGTGGGTTTTGAGGTTTCAAAAGACTCATTCCACCTCCAGGACACTCTCTGCCTCCTCCTTGTGGTTCAAGATGTGAGCCCTCAGCTGTGGCTCCTGCTGCCTGTCACTGGCTACCTGCACTCAACCATCATGAACTCTAGCCCTCTGTGGGAGTTTGAATGAGAATGGTTCCCCCCACAGGCTCAAATGTCTGAACGTTGAGTCCCCAGTTAGTGGAACTCTTTGGGAGGAATAAAGTCCACCACTTGGTGCGGTGGGCTTTGAGATTTCAAAAGCCCACAGCAGGGCCAGTGCCCCACCCACCAATACCTCTCCTCTCTCTACTTGCCTGTGGATCAGTATGTAAACTCTCAGCCCCATGCCTGTCTGGCTGCTGCCATGCTGATCACGGGCTCACCCTCTGAACTCTAAGTAAGCCCTCAATTAAATGCTTATTTATCTAAGAGTTGCCTTGGTCCGTAACTGAATACCAACATGTAGAAGAACGCAAATAGACGCATATCTATTGCCATCCACAAAACTTAAGTCCAAATGGATCAAAGACCTCAACATAAAACCAACCATACTGAACCTCATAGAAGAGAAAATGGGAAATACACTTGAATGCATTGGTACAGGGGATCGTCTCCTAAATATAACCCCAGTAGCACAGACATTGAGAGAAACAATTAATAAATGGGACCTCCTGAAACTGAGAAGCTTCTATAAAGAAAAGGACATGGTCAACAAGACAAAACAGCAACCTACAGAATGGGAAAAGATCTTCACCAACCCATATCAAACAGAGGACTGATCTCCAGTATGTACAAAGAACTCAAGAACTTAACATCAAAAGAACAAATAATCCAATTTTTAAAAAATGGGGTACAGGCCTAAACAGAGAACTCTCTACAGATGAATCTCAAAGGACTGAAAGACATTTAAGGAAATAATCAACATCTTTAGCCATCAGAGAGATGCAAATCAAAACAACTCTGAGATTTCATCTTATACCTGTCTATAATTACATCTTACACCATTCTGGCCAAGATCAAAAACACTGATGACAGTTTATGCTGGAGAGGATGTGGGGTAAAGGGAACACTCCTGCATTGCTGGTGAGAGTGCAAACTTGTACAGCCGCTTTGGAAATCAGTATGGTGATTTCTTAGAAAATTAGGAAACCAAGTACCTCAAGACCCAGCAATACCTCTTTTGGGTATATACCCAAAGGAAGCTCATTCATACCACAAGGTCATGTGCTCAACTATGTTTATAGCACCATTTTTCATAATAACCAAAAACCTGAAAACAACATAGATGCCCCACAACCAAAAAATGGATAAAGAAAATGTGGTACATTTACACAATGAAGTACTACACAGAGGTAAAAAAAAAAAAAATAATGACATCTTAAAATTTGCATACAAATGGATGGATCTAGAAAAAAAAAACATATTGTGTGAGGTAACCCAGACCCAGAAAGACAAATGTAATATGTACTCACTCATAAGTGGCTTCTGGACATACAGCAAAGAAAAAAAACCTACAGTACACAACCCCAGAGAACCTCGACAACAAAGAGGACCCTAAGAGAGACATATATGGATCTACATAGGAAGCAGAGAAAGACAAGATCTCCTGAGTAAATTGGGAGTAGGGGGGTCATGGGAAAGAGTAGAAGGGGAGGGGGAGGAAAGGAGGAGAATGGGAAAAAATGTATAGCTCAATAAAAGCAATAAAAAGAAAAAGAGTCTCCTTGGTCGCTGTGTTTCTTCACAGCAACAGAACACTGACTAGGACAACCTCTCAAACCTCTGGCTCAAAATCAACTCTTCTATAGTAGCCTTGCTCACACTGTCTTATCACAACAGCAGAAAGGAACTCCTACAGAGTTTAAGAGACCCTGCCTCAGCGAATAAGGTGAGGAATACTGAGGAGGCCTCTTGATATCACGAGATGAATGTACACATATGTATTCACATACATGCACACCTACCCCATATACACACATGCGCAAAAAAAGAAAGAAAAGAAAACCGGATGGGCGTATCTCTCCTTTTGGGTACAATTCTAGTTGCTCCCCATGGTCACTTGTACGGTCCCACACACTTTTTCAGCAGGCAGCTTCAGTGTCTCATTGCATGCCGTAATGCTTAGCCACGTGTTTGTATTACTGCAAAGTACTTGACAAACCCAACTTAAAGGAGCAAAGGTTTGCTTTGGTTCGTGGTTTCAGAGTTTCAGTCCGTCACAGCGACGCCACGGGAACACAGCCCGGGGTGTTTACCCCCACCAAAGAACTGTCTCTAGTGATCTCAGAACTATGTCCTCCCCCCCCCCCAACCCCCGGCTCTTAAAGGCTTCACAGTCTTAAAAATAGTTTCACAAGCTAGGGACTCACTGTTGGAAACATGTGCCCGTGGGAGACATTTTGGATCCAAACCTTGAGTCTAGGCTATTTGTGTGTCTGTACAGACCCATGGGTGAGTGTGAGTACTGAAGGGGTTAAACTCTCCCACTCTCACAGCCACGTTTAGGTTTCTGTTCTGGAAAGGGCAGAACAGGTGTCTCTCCCACAAGAGGTCTTTCATCCACAATGCCCTTCCGTGAGGCAAGGCCTGAGCCAGCCTCACAGTGTCTCAAGGACAAACGCAGCAGCCCTTTCTAAATCACGTCCGAACTTGCCCAAGCTTATACATATGTGACCAAAAACGATATAACTAAGCCTCAGTCAATGGAGAGTATACTAATATAAGTGCTACTTGTTTAACCAATTCGTGTACGAGATGACCTAACTGTCCCTAAAACTCCCGTTAGCTGTGTTTAGAAAGAACCTGCACACTTCTCTAGGGGCCGTCTCCATTTTGTGCAGGTGAACGACCCCACATGCATGTTGGAATATTAATAAACGCTCTTGGCTTTTGCATACTTTTGAGTCTGGGGTCTCGCCTCAGTGTGTCCGTGGACCCTTCCAGTATGTGTGTAGGTGTGCGTGACTCCGCACGTGGAGGCCAGAAGGGGCTTTACGGGTTCCCCTCTGTCATTCCCAACCTGTTCATGGAGGCAGTCTTTCCCTGATGTAGGCGTATCAGTTTCTCCCCGAAGGCTGGAAGTCAACAAGGCCTAGTGACCCTCCCATCTCTACCCACCTCAGAGTTGGAGTCAAAAACACCAGGGGAAATGCCTGGCTTGTCACATGGGTACTGGAATTGGAACCCTAGTCAGGATCAATACTGAGCAGCAATCACTGCTAACAGCTGAAGGAATTCCCCTGCTCCCACCCACCCCCTTTTCAGTGTGCTGATTTATTCAACATTCTCCTCTGGTAAGTTACCTGTTCGACTCTCTGGGCCATTTCCTTATTACTGAGTTTCAATTGACAGCCACATTTTTTCACAGCACAAATCAGAAGTGGGTATCTCTCTCTTAGACCCCTCGCATGTCCTCCTTGGGTACTGTGAGTGAAAACTGGGCTACCAGGGTCTCATCCTTCCAAGTCTTGCCCCAGGCAGCCTCTGATCAGTGTCCTCCTTTCTCTGTGGTGACACTTGGCTGTCCTCTAATCCAGCCAGTAGGTCCCAGGATTCCTCTTTACTTTTATTTACTTAATTTTTGGATTGTGAGCCTAGCCTTTAACTACTGAGCCCCATCTTTATTTTTTATTTTAATGTGTGTTTCATCTGCATGGTTGTGAGTGTACCATGCCATGAAGTATCCAGAGAGGCCAGAAGGAGGTGTCAGGCCACACCTTGACCCAGAACTGTTATAGGTGGTTGTAAGCTACCATGTGGGTGCCGGGAACTGAGCCTTTGCAAGAGCAGCAAGTGCTCTTAACAGCTGAGCCATCTCTCCAGCCCTGCCATTCATCCCATTCAGGGCTACCTGGTACAACCTGCCCCCTACCCTGAGCAGCTGAGGCTTCCTCACATCCTGGGTTTCTTGCACCGCTTCTGAATGTGCAAGGGAATGTAGGGAATGTCGTCCTGAAGAAATCACACTGCCTTACCATCAGTGCAAAGAAAACCTTCATCAGGTAAGACGGTAGCAATGGGAGATGGAAGGACAGCTCGTGTAATAACGTGCTTGCTGCATGAGGACCTCAGCTGAGTCTCAGTTGAATCCCACATATAGTGGTCATACCAGTTCTGGGAAGACAAAAACAGAACATTTGGAGCTCATTGGTCAGGTGAGTCTGGTGGAATTCCCATGCACTTGTAGTTCAATGAGATTTTTGTCTCAAAAGTTAAGAGACCCCCTAGCAGCACCTAGACGCAAGATTATGTACACACACACACACACACACACACACACACACACACGTCCGCATGCACACACCCATGGTTAGAAGGGACAGATGTCCAAAGGCCCTGTGGCATCAATTTGCTTGAGGAAGCATCAATTTGCATGAGGGGGCTGTGGGAGGAAGCAAGATTAGTGATTTAAGCATATCTGGCAGAGAAGGAAGAAAGCAAAGGCCTCTTAAAGAGCCCCACAACAGTTCAGGGAGCCCGAGTGTGGGACTTTTTGGTGGCAAGAGAGCCTCAGTGATGGGCTAGTGGTGAGGGAGGACAAGGACAATTACCAGATCTCTGGTTAGTCCGGCACAGGAAGAACCCAAGCCTCAGGCAGTTAACAAAAGAGGCCAGGAAGGAGGACAGGCTGAGAATTGACGGGAGTGTGGCCAGGGAAATGACGGGGAAGAAGGAAGATGGGCTAGCCAAGGACCTGCGGGAGGGTGGCGGGGGAAGTAGTGGGGAAACTCCGGGAGGACCTGGCGGCCCCCCCCCCCCCCCCCGCCGGGCCACACAGCAAGAGCTGACAGCTTGCTTAGAGCCGAGTCAGGAGAGGACCAGGTGGAGAACCTGCCCTCGAGATGTGTAGGCTCCTGGAAGGTGCAGGGCACAAAGTTAGTTCAAGTTTAGACAGAGAGCAGAGTCACTAAGAAAGAACAAGTAGGTGGTCGGATTGCTCAGGGGAGGCAATAAGTGGTTCTGTGTCCACCAGGATGGGGTGCGGAGACAAACAATACTAGAAAACTCCAGGCCAATAGGCCGCACAGAGCACACCCGGCTGTTGGGGTCCGAGGGGACTGGGAGGACCTGGGTACAGAATCCAAGAGAGAGGGGCGGAGTGGGAGAGATGGGGAGGTGGGCCCTAGAAGGCAGTGTGGAAAGGGGTGGGAGAATGGAGCAGGAAATAGGCCGAGCCGGGTAAAGAAGGCCGTGGGAGACGGGGAGGAAGGACGGGAATGTTGGGGGAGAGGTAGTAGGGAGGTGGAGATTGTGGCGGGGGGAGGGCCAGGGATGGTAGGAGAGGCAGTGTGGAGCAGGGGGGTCAATGGATGGGGAAGTGGGCGCGGCAGAGTCGAAGGGGGAAATGAAAATGAAGGATGGGCGGGGGAGGATCCTAGGGCTAGTGAGAGACGGAGGGTGGAAGTAGAAGGATGGAAGGCGGGGAGAGACTGGCTAGGCTAAGTCTAAGGGGTAGTGGGGGGGGGCAGGTTGGGGGCGGGATATGGGCCGAGTAGAGTCAGAAGGGCTATGGGGGAGGCGAAGATGGGAAAGGGAGGATGGGGGAGGAGGGATGGGCAGGACAGCATCCCAGGGACATTGTGGGGGTGGTTGGAGAATGGAGGGCGGGAGGGTGGGCGGGGCAGGGTCCCAGGGGCAGTTGTGGGTGGGGATGGGGGAGAGGATTGAAGGTGCTGGAGGCGGGGCAGCCGAGGATGAGTCCCGGGGCCTAGTCTAACTCCACTTTTTCTTCTTCCGCACAGCGGGTTTCCGCTTCCCTCCAGGGCACTGGGTGAGGCAGTGAGACCGAGGCTCGACGAGGTAGCGCCGCTATGTGGCCCCCGGACGCGGAGCCGGAGCCCGATCCGGAGTCTGTGGACCGCCCCCGAAGTGGCAGGACAGTGCCGGGGCTCCGCGCCCTGTTGCCTGCGCGCGCCTTCCTCTGCTCGCTCAAAGGCCGCCTCCTGCTGGCGGAGTCGGTGAGTGCGAGGGCTCCCCGAGTGGCCGAAGCCCGGTCCCCGCACCCTTAGCCCGGGTTTCTGCGCCTCCAGCCCAGGAGAGTCTCGCTAAGTGGGGCCACCGCCCCCAAACTTCCGACGGCTTCTCTGTAGCTGAGCGGGAGTCGTGGTTTGCCCGGCTTCTCCAGCACGAAGCCCTCGAAAGGGACCGGAGGACAAGGGTTCGGGGACCGGGTCCCTGCTGGCCCCGCGGCCTGGCCGCCATGTGACCTCGAGCTCCGCCGCTCGCTTAGAGCTCCTTCAAGCCTCGGTCTCCTGGTCTGCACACCCTCCCACTTCCCTGGTTGAGACCCGGCCACCCGTGGGGTGCAGATCCTGCAGAGTGGGTGAGACCGGGCTGCGTAGTGAAGATGCAGGCAGACTGCTGTCCCAGGGTGGCAAGTCAGCGGGGTGACTTCATTCCCTTCTTTCTCCCCCCCCCCCCCCCCCAGCCACACTCCTTCCTTGTCCCCACCCGACTAGGGAGGTCTCCTTTGTCCTAACAACACTCCTGCATCAGCGCGTGTGGGGCGGGAACTGGCACGGGGCCTATGGGGATGTTAAGAGGGGCGGGAGGAAGGAGGAAACAGCCCATGGCGACAGCCATTTGTTGCTTAGATCCCAAGCTACTTGATATCTGATCTGTACCCACTTGAGCGGGGAGGGGCGGATGGGAGATGAGAGAACCAGAAAGTGCCTTTAACTGCATCTAGGAAATTTGACAGGTGACCCTGAGAAAAGATGGGAGGGTTTCTGCCCTAGGACTTTTTCCTTGTATCCCAGGACACATGGAGGAGGCAAGACCTAGAACCCTCTCTTAGACAGGCTATGGCGGGGGGGGGGGGGGGCATGTTGAATCACAGGCCATTGAGGAGGCTTCCGTCCTACCCTACCTAGTACCCCTTCATGGAGAAGGGGTGAGTGCCAGCCAGAACTCACAAGATATCCTTGACTTAGTCGACCTAGGTGTCAGAAATCCTGGCCTAGGAAAATAAGAAGGGAAAGGAATGAGTTCAGAGGGTATAGGGGAGCCTCTCCTAGTCCTTCCTCCTCTTGGTTCCAATGCAAATCGGGAGCCGGACGTGGATTGGAAACTAGGGGAATTGGCCACCAAGAATTGGGGAATGAGAAAAGAGGACTCAAGTGTGTATGTGTTATGGTGGCAGGAGGGAAGGGTGTCACCAGAATCAGACTTAATTGAGGGGGAGAATGAGAACGGAAAGAGGAGAGACATAAGAGCAGCCGGTTAGCAAATACAGTGGGAGCTGATGACTGGCCACCTTCTCTAAGCCTTAGTTTCCTGTTTGCCCAGGGAAGTTCAGCTTCCCCCATGGCATATTCAGGGGATGGGGCAAGAGTGGGGTCCTAGAGACCATCAGTTCATTTGTCAGAAGCAGCCATGGTACTTCCTACAGGACATCCGCGTTTCCCCCTTCGGCCCTTTGAACCACTGAGCCGTGGACAGACTCAAAGCCGACCATAGTGGTAGAAGATGGAGGCCTTTAATGCCCTAAGTACAGATGTGATACCACATTAACTGGGTGGCACATGAGTGGCGTTGAGGAGCAGAGAAGTCTAGACGTCTTCGAATCCGCGAGAACTGGGCTTGAAACGCTCAGCCCTAGCATCTTCATCTTGTTTCCCCGCCACGCTCCAAGTCTGCAGGACTCACCCGTGACCTTGGCATCCTCCACCCTACAACCCTGTGGACCAGGCTTCTGTAGATTAGTGTAGCCAGCCCCACCTGAATGGGACAGCAAGGACCCACTATCAATGCTGTCTCCGAAGGAGTTAGAATTTTATTGAAATAGGGTTTCATGTGTCCCAAGCGGCCTAAAACTTTCTATTTGAAACTGAGGATGACTTTGAACCTCTGCTCTTCCTACCTCCACCCCCCAAAGTGGTAGGATCACAGGCTTGTACCACCAAGCCTGGTCTACGCGGTGCTTAGGATCGAACCCAGAGCTTTGTGTGTAGTAGGCAAGAACCTTACCAGCTGAACTGCATTGCATTGCTAGCCTCGTACATAGTTTAAAAAAAAAAAAAAGATTTGCCAATGCACAAAAGTGTCAAAAGGTCTCTATTAACACCCCTGCATCCACCACATGAACTGTACCTTGGTTAACACTGCTCAGCCTCCTTTATTATCTGTGTCCGTCAACCTCCCTTGTGTTTTCAGACATTCAAATTCTGTTGCAGACATCAGTGCACTTCAGCTTCAACCACTTCGGCATGCATATCATCGTTCTGTGAAGTTAGGGTTTTCATGAAAAGTACACATCTTAGGTACCCGTAGGGTGTGAGTTTTGAAAACAGTAGCTTTTAGCTCTGGCTCGCCCCCTTGTGGACACAGCTGAGTTAGGTACGTTCCATTGCAGAGTCAGGAAAAAAGCTGAGCAGTCCATGGTGGCCTGAGGGCGGGAGGAGCGGGGAGGCTAGAGCTTCAAGGTGAGGTCCTAGCAGGGATTCAGCAAGGTATGGGGACTCAGGGGCCTGGCCTGGTCTGGGGGTGGTGGCGGGGGGGGGGGGGGGGGTGGCAAGAAGGTTCGACTCTCCTTGCTCTTCCGCAGGGACTCTCATTCATTACCTTCATCTGCTACGTGGTGTCCTCGGCATCTGCCTTCCTCACGGTACCTCTGCTGGAGTTCCTTTTGGCTGTTTACTTCCTCTTTGCTGATGCCATGCAGCTGAATGACAAATGGCAGGGCCTGTGCTGGCCCATGATGGTAAGGATCCGGGGACCCAAGAGGAAACGGTTGGCCGTCACGTGAAGAATCTGGAGTTCTGCAACTCGGCCTCCACCCCTGCCCACCCAGCAGCACTGGGACAGTGGGACCTGAGTTGTTCTGTGAAGCTGGGCACCCAAAGAAGGCTCCTGACCACCAGGTGGAGCTGTTGCTCTGGTCTTGGAGAAGGAATGTGCCTCAGCCACAGGCATTCAAGCCATTTCCAGCAGGGTGGGGTCACTGAGGCTTGTGGGACTTCCTAGATTCTAGTCATCTGGCACCTGGCCTTGTTTGATCACCCGAGGACCTTACAGTCCCGAGAGAGTGCCCTTTAATGGATAGAGTGGATCATAGAAAATGGGTCGCAAAGGCTAGACTCTGCTCCCTTGAATTGATCTCCAGCATCCATGGAACCACCTGGTGATGATAGTTGGAGCCTCACTGGAGCCCCACCCTAGGGACTAAACAGAGACTATGATCATAAGCGAATCTCACTGTGGCAAGGTCAAGCCTCTTGGAAAGCTAGATTTTCTCCACTTCCCATCTGTGCCAAACTGCAGAGCCAGCTATACCATAGTATACACCCCATTTGCTACCCACAGGGCAGAGAAAATCCAGCGATCTTTTCAAGGATGGGACAATACATGCTGCTGGAGGCCTGCAGAACAAGACGCGTGAAGCACAGATTAGGGCCAGGGCGTACAGGTGGAGCTAGACAGGGACTCCGTGGATTAGGGCCAGGGCGTACAGGTGGAGCTAGGACAGGGACTCCGTGGGTGCTAGGACTGATTGTGTTGGTCGCCCGTGCTGTGGCACCTTCAGTGTGGACATGCCCCTCTCTCCTCAGGACTTCCTGCGCTGTGTCACGGCTGCCCTCATCTACTTCGTCATCTCCATCACAGCCGTTGCCAAATATTCAGAGGGAGCTTACAAAGCAGCTGGAGTGAGTGGCTGCCCTGCCCCCTAGTGGACATACCCAGCAGTGCCCCTCCCCTGACGCTCCAGGTCATCCCCCTTGGCACTCGCTTCTACAGTGGGACCTGAGCAGATCCTGCCCCTGCTTAGGCACTGGGTCCCTCTCTGGGTCTCTGCCATGCCAATCTAGTTAAAAGTTTAGTCCGTCCTGAGTTGAGAGGCTGTGTCTACCAGGCTCACAGCCCATTTCCCCCATTTGCCATAACTCATCTGTCCTGGTTGGGCCATTTCCTCACTGCTGCTTGCATATGCCCAGTCTCTTGGTCCATGAGCCCAGAGTCTTCGTGATGTTTCCATCCATCCTGTCCATGTTCCCTGCCATATGCCATGCGTGTCTCCCACAGGTTTTTGGCTTTTTTGCCACAATTGTGTTTGCAATTGACTTCTACCTGATCTTTAATGAAGTGGCCAAATTCCTCAAGCAAGGAGACTCTGTGAATGAGACCACGGCCCATGAGACAGCAGGAGGTGAGTGGCCACTCTGCACGGTTTCTGAGGAACCTCACTGATCCATTTTAGGATAGCTGTGGGGCTCTGCCCTTCCTTGGGAACACCTGGTTAGTTTGAGGCTGAAGGAAAAGTAGGAAGTGTCCAGTCTGGCCGGAGCGGAAGGTGAGTGTATGCCTGTACCTCCGGCCCTGCAAGGCACACTAATGTCGCCAGGGCAGCTAGTCAGGACACCAATCCATCTGAGACCAACACTCTACACCCTCTTTCTCCTTTCCTGCTTGGAAGCCCACAGTACCCAGGCAGACACGGGCATAGTGGGCTTGGGTTTTGCTGTTGTTGTTTTGGAAATAGAACCTCACTCTGTGTAACTCACTGGCCTAGAACTCATTTCGTAGCCCAGGCTGGTCATAGCACCCCTTACCTGACTTATTTGGATCTCTTCTTCCAAAGAACATCAATCTGGGCCAGGTACTTCTCTGGAGCAGGCCAGCAGTACTGTGTGGCTAGTCAGAGTTGTTCTCAGGGCTGGTCCTGGCTGTAGGATCTTCCCGATTATACTAAATATCTGAAGTAGGACCTGGTTGGCTAGGTTTAGAGGCCACCAGCTTCCCGTTGGGATTCCCAGACACTGTCCCTCTGCTAAAAATGAATGTCATTCCAAACTCACCCCTGGTCTGTGGCAAACAGGTTAAATGCTCCTGGACCTTGTCTTCTAGCCTTTGGGACCTGCAGCAAATGCTGGTCAACCAGCCCAGGGATTGGAGCATAAATGTTCATGGGGACATGCATTTTGAATATTTGATGTGGTTTTAATACAAGACCGTAGTTTTTGCAGCAAAAGTATTTATAATTGGCCTATGTGTTAGATATGACTATAACAACCTTGTCTTACTTATACACCCCTGGCAGGATGAGGGGTAAGAACCAGGACTTGGGGAGGTGATGAGCATTAAAATACAGCCACCATTGCTAGAGTCAGGTACTAGTGAGGCATAAGATTCCAGAAGGTTCTACAGAATAATCTTTAAGGATGTGATTCCAGGAGGCCTTAAAGTTATATCACTAACTGACTTTAACATGATAAAATGTTTTATAGTCGTCTCACAATATAAAATAATATATAAACAGCTAAACCCATAAAATAGCTTCATAAAACAACAACCAAAAAGCTTGTCCATTTTTTAGTGTATTTTAGTTCAGGGACAAGAAATTGTTGTCTTTGCCTTGTCCTGCTGAATGGGGGTGGAGAAAAGGGTACAATGTGTAACTCCGACACCCTCAGGTGAGGGGACGTCCTGGGCATGCATGGCCTGGGAAGGAAGCATTTGGACTTTGGGCTGAAGAGAAGTGCCTGCTCTTATCCCCTTGTAGCCCAAGGCCCAGCCTGCCACTATGGGAGAAGCTGGGCCCAGGGCTCCTGCGGCAGTGCCCCCTCCTACCCACACTTCAGGGACGGTTGCCAGCACTCCCTACTTTCCTTTCAGATCATTCCAGCTCCAGCTCCGACTCCGACTCAGAATGAGAAGGCCTGTCTGCGCCTGCGCCTGGCGCCACTCAGCCCTCCCATCCATACCATCCTGATGGGGCTACAGGAGCATGGCAGTGAACGCCCACCGGAAAGCAGACCGAGGAACAGGTTTCTGAGATTATGCCCCTGAGCCTCACACTCAAAATTGGCTGTGCTGGCTTAGCAGTGCTGAGCTGGCACATGAGGAGACTGAATATCCTACCTTCTCCCGTTTCCGTCCTAAAGACCTGAGCCTTTGAACCTCACTGACCCATGGGAGCAGACACATCACAGGAGCCAGGCACTGTAGTTCAGGTGGCAGCGTGGGGTGTGGTCACAGCAGGCTGACCCACCCAGCCCTGGTGGGCTCTGCATGGAGGGCTCCTGTTCACGCCTGCACTTTGTTGAGAGAACTTTCAGGAATCTTTGTTCGAGAAGTTTCCCTCCTCACTGTAAAACGGGGAGAAACCCAAATAGCCAAGTCTTCCATTGTGGGTCTGAGACCTTTTCAGCAAAGACCTGTCTGTCTACCAGGGCCAGAGACAGGGAGCCGACCAGGGCAGCGGTGCTGACAAAGTCACAAATGGCTGGGCGGGCCCAGTCAAGCCCTTTCCTCCCGGGAGACACCTGGACAGGCCCGTTGACATGGGCCCTCTCTGTGTTCACTTGGGGGCTGATACTGTGGATATCTTTGATGTTTTCTAACTTTTTTTGTAACTTTTTTATTCAAAAGCAACGTAACAAATGGCATTTTCTGTGACCCTAGAGGCCCCATGAATGAGCCAGAGTTCTGGGCCCATGCCTTAGATGTTTGTAACCTTCCTACCTTGCATGTAAATTCCCTCCCTAAAAGAATGCCACAATGGATTAAAACAAACTGCCTACCTGCTCAGAGTGTGCCCGACTGAGAAACCCACCCGCTGCCTGCAGTAACTGCCTACAGTGGGTTCTGGTGGCCGCCAACAGTGGTGCGGCAGTATTCATCTCTGCTGGGCAACAGCATCTGACCACCACTGCCTTTTATTCAAGGCAGCAAAGGGTAAGCAGGCAGCCTGGTTAGGATGGTGTGTCTTCCAACAACCAAAACTGGGCCTTCATGAGCAAGGGACCTCAGAGCAGCTGCTATGAGGAACCCGGTCACCACTCAAGCCCCAGTCCCCGAGAGCAGCAAAGCACTCTGCTCGCCATCATTGGGCACGCACACTAGAACACGGGGAGAGCCAGACGCAGAGGCAGAGAGGCTGTGCAATGCCCTGGAGCCTGGCAAACTGGTTCCAGCCTGCTGACTGCCTCTGCCTCACCTCTACAGAGCAAATTTGTTGCAGGAGTGAGGAGAAAGAAGAGACTAAATCATTTTTATGTGTCCATTTATTAAACAAGAACTCCTTCATGACAATACAGTATTCATTAGTGATTAGTGTCAAAAATTATTTCCCTCTACATACAAAAATACAGATTTGAACACTATGAAAACAATCAAGACAAGTACCATGAAAATTGGTCCTTCAAAAGGAAATTGGGGAGGCCGAGGGCAGTGTGAGGCTTTGTCGGCTGTCAGGGGCAAATCAAGGGGAGCAAATGCCATGAGGTTCCCACATCACTTATTTCAAGCTCAGGGTGAAACCCGGGAGTTGGGGGGCCAAGAGGCGAAGTTCAGTACTGCAAACAACACACATCAGTTTGTTCAACAGCCTTCACCTTGGAATGCCCACAGCCATGTCTACAAACTGCCAAAAAGACAAACTTTAGCTGGGCATGGTGACACACTCCTGTATCCCAGCATTTAAGACAAAGGGCAAGATGATCACTTACAAGTTAAAGGCCAGCCAAGACTACCTAGCAAGACCCTGTCTCAAAGAAAACCAGACTACAGAAACAAAATGTAGTAACTATTAACATTGCCCACCCCACCCCAAAGTGCCACTAGTTAAATGAAGTGCCACGGCCCATCCTGGCAGGAAGCTGTCGTTCAGCCACCTGAGGACGTTTTTCCCCACAGAACCATGTTTTGACTCTTCAAAAGGACAAAGACAAGGAGCTACAGGTTAATGTCTCAGAGAATCCGTACCTTTACTCAACAACGGCTCGGTGAGCTTTTCCTGACCAGACAATCCAAGGAGCAGGGCCAGGAAAGCAGAAAGAGTGGCTAAGCTGTATCCTGGCTTTATCCAGCCCATCACAGCAGGGGATCTACATTCAGTCCACCCATCAGGGGCCTCCACAACCCTACCTGGAATTCAAGTTGGGTGAGTCCACCAGAGCAAGGCCGAGGTGCTGCTAGGAAGCAGTGGCATTTGGCCAGAGAACAGCCTGAGACTGGCTAGCGTGGGAGGGCAAGGAGCCAAATGCAAGCTCTTTCTGTCAGACTCAGTGAGCAGGAAGGCAGGGCACAGACAAAACTTGAAAAAACAAGACACTTTCTTCTTATCGCTGGTAAGCAACAGCGCTCCCAGTCTAACAAACAGTTGAATGATGTCAGATAGAATTACAGGGACATGACCTTTTTTTAAGAAATGTCCTCTGACTCTCAGGCCTAATCAGCAAACGTGTGGTGAGGAGAACACAGTGTATGGGGTAGGAGTTGCTGGAGGGTGTCTGACTTTGAAAACTACATAGGAAGTTTAAGACGAAAATGGCCTAAACTTCAAGACCTACGGTACTGTGGAAAGCAACAGTGAAAGGACACAGTCATGCTACAAAAATAGTGTTATCTGTTTTAACTAAATGTATAACCCCCCCAATCCCATGATTGACAAGAGTGCTTATGTGACACATGGAAGGCACCAAAGGTGAAGTGATTATTTATCATAAAATATACAAAGACAGAACTGCCTACTTAAAAAAAAAAAAAAAAGACTGTAATGAATAGCTCAGTGTCTCTGCCACGGGCTCCTAAAGTCCTATAAACTTCAACATTCGCAGACAGCTTCACTCCCTAGCATTCTTCCAGATGGAACCATGTCAAACAAAATCAAGTTATTAAAAAGCAACGATTTTAGGCAACTGGGTCAATTTCATCATGATCTGAATGATTTTTCCAATGGTTAGTAACGAAAGAACAATGAAAGAGTTAGTAATGAAAGGTGGGCCTGGGCCCCAGCACGCCCTTGCTCTTGCCCTCTCTAGCCTTGACCTAGCCAATTAAGCCCTGAAGGGTTGTCCTCTTCACTGCCACAAAAAGGGAAACAGTTGTGAAACTTGCTAAATCTGTTCTGGAAAAAGAGGGACGCAAAGCAGGGTTAGCGGAAGGAGGTGCCATCAGTCAGGCCTGGCCCTGCCTTGGGCTGGAGTGAGCACAAGCCTCCTCCACTGTCCTCTCTCTTGGCCATTCCTTGGGTAACTTTTCTGATTAAAAGCGGGGGGGGGGGGTAATTTCTGCTGAGGTATTAGCAGCATCTCTCTTTTCAGAAACAATTATGAAAGAAAAACAAACCTCTTGGCCCTGCCCTACATCCCATTAACAAAGCCGAGTGCAGTGACTGCAGACATGTTCTTACCATGATTATAACCAAACAAGCCCCGCTAACCTGCCAGTCCAAGTGACATTAACCCTTAACCAAAGGCTCACTGGAATTGGAAGTATCAGAATAAAAAGAGTGACAGGGTAAACTAATGACACAAAGATACCGTTCGAGGGCCTATAATCTCAACTTGATTCTGGGCAAGTGGCTGACGTGTGCCCCCTCAGCCCACACACCCTCTTTCCTCTTAGGTATTTTTTTTTTTTTGAATAGGAGAAACTAGAAAGAAAATAAAAATTCCCAAAGCCTGAGAACTTATATCCAATGCTACACTGACTCTAATGAAATCCAAGAGAACATTCCCTTTTAGAAGAAAATTCTAGATCTAACACTGATGGCATTTTTTTTTCAGAGATAAAGGCTACATAAACACAGATAGGTCAAATATTTCAAATTACTTTCTCAACCAGACAGATCTGATTTCTTTTAAAGATGTCTGCTGAGAAGAGAAACGACAGATTAAGGAGGTTGTCGGTCTGCACCCCGCCAGGAATGCACAGGAGCAGCTATCGCCTGCTCAGACCCGACGAGATGCCAGCACTGAGGGACGGTGGTCTCCAACATCCAGCTCTTGGCCGCAGGTCCATCGGGGAGCACAAGACCTCACCCTTCTGAAGAGGAGGAAGCTAAGGACATGTTTCCAGAGCAGCAGGGGTCATGAACACATCAAGTGCCATCTACGCTGTCACTCGGCTCCCGCTGCAGCCTCCTCCTCCCGCCAGGCCTGTGATGCAAACCTCGTGTCCACCAAACTCCCTGCCTAGCTGGCCCCTATGGGGTAGGTGCTGATAAAATAGAAACCCCAGACTATGCAACTTTATGAGGAACTCCAGGTACCTGGAGACTTCACACGCTAGAAGTATTTTTTTTTCCTGCTTGAGAACCAGTTAACAATTCTCTGTCTAGGAAGTGCATACCCCATCCCTTCTGCTACCTGCTTACCTGCTTAATGTCACTATAGCTATGCAGGCGACATCTTGAGAAAACGGCAGTCAGGCAGGAGCAGACGAACCATGGACTAGTGTGTTCTGAACACAGATGGCAGAGTAGGAACCACCTACAAGGTCACTAAATTAGACACACGTCTCCATGCTCCAAAGACTGACCCACAGGGATTCTGACATGGCCACCTCATGGACAGGGAAGGGGTTCCTCCACATAGCACAGTTTGTGTCACCCACAGAACTAGTCAAGGCTCATTCAAGGCGAGCAGGAATTCACATACGTGCAGGGACAAAGAGAGTCAGACCTTCATTTCTTCTAAGACCGCCTGGACCACTAGAAAAACCTTCAAAGAAGACAGAAGAAACTTGAAAAGAGAAAAAATGTTTTCAGGTGAGCCACAAAACTCTTCCAGAAGCATCCAACACAGGTGGGAGCCAGGTGTACCAGGTCTGCCCATGGGTGTGAGCCTTCTAGCCAGGGCCTGTAAAAGGGCCCCAAGGTCAAGAGCTCACTGCACAAGGACCAGGGCTGGTCCTTGCTGGTTTTCCTGTGCCCAGGCTCCACCCACTCCGGTGTTTTAGCACATTGCTAAGAAAGATGTGGGCACTGGGTGTGGGCAGCTTAACTGCATTCTTGCTATTTTGATAGACAAAAGCAATCTGCCCTGCATGGCAATGCACTTTAAGTGAAAACTCTCTAAAGAGCACCCATCCCATCACTGTGTTCACCCTTCCGAGGAGCCAGTGAGTACCTTGGGGTTCCCTGCTCTCTGTTCATAAAGGAAAAGGGCTTACCCTCTGTGCTTTGCAGGAGGGGTAGAGAGCAGTGGCGAATGCCACCCCATCAGCAGATACAGCACCACGCTTTCTCTGAGGGTGTCAGCTCACATCCATCCAAACTACCAGATGTGAGAGGACCTGAACCCCACATCTTCATGACCACACCAGATATTCCCAACAACTGCATTTCCCTTCAAGTTTTGCTCCAACTGGGAAAGCCAGTCATCCCATAGGGAAACAAAATAAGCTAAGGCTGACTTAAAATGCCCAAAACCTAAGCGACACTGGTTCGTAATAGACTTAATAAACACAAAAATATGCTTTTTTTTCAATTTGCAGAGATCATTTAAAAACTCAGATCTAGATGATTTTCTGTTTGCATAGAAGCATGACAAGAAAAAGACAGGTGTCTTTGCATTCCCTGTAGGCAACCATATTCCCTTCATGGCTTTTCCTCACCATGTTGGCTGTACAGGAGTGGGGCTGTGCATCACGCTATTAGAACGTGTATAAACCACTTCTGGCTCTATGGGAGCTAGTTAAATAGTACAAGGAAATACATATACAAAAGCCACAGGGAAGCTTCATAACACAAAGGATATTAAATAGTTACTGGGATATAAATAATTACAAAGATAATAATTCTGACACCAAGATGCAACTAACTCAAGTCTTTCAGGCCCTAAGACCCTAGCACTTTTATCGTATCTCAGTATTCACGGTCTCCCTGGGCCTCAGGATTATGTCTCTCAGCTGACAACACTCTCAGAGGCCTCCTTTCAGCACATGATAAAATGGTTTTATTGAAGTGACTTGGGAAAATGAACAGCAATCCAATCTGAATGCTTCTTTCTTCCGGCTCACTTCAAAGGTGGCTTTTTCCTGAGGCCCAGTAACATGATAGAGCTCAGGGTGATCCTTCCAAGGGGGGCCCATCTGATGCAGACCAAGTCTTTGTGACCCTATTTTAAAGGGAATTTGATTTTGATTGTGTAGACATACTCAACAAATTCAAAATAACCACGTAAAACAGATAAAAATCCAGATGTCGTCCACTCCCCATATCACAACATGCAACAGGTTCAAAGTTGCGACAACACAAGGTATACTGACAGCCTCATGACATTCAAGGACAGAAATCTCTATCAGGAGCTGGGCAAGGGCCAGACCCAGGCCGTCCTCTAGAGGAGAAGAGGAGCAGGGAGGGGAGTGATACCAGACTAGCTGTCCTTTGAACATGTGACCTGGACTACTGCCAACATGGAACCACAGCAGCACTGGATTACACTGGATGCTGGCTTTAGAGAGTCAACCTCTAGCACCCCCGGCCCCCAAGTCAGATACAGCCTGACCCTACTTCCTGTGGACTCCGGAGCCCCGCAGTGGTATCTGACAACAGCTCCTCTTTGCTACTCAGCCATAGATCACTGCTCTTCCCTGAATGATGCAGAGCCATGGCACACAGGGGCACCCACCTCCTCAGACTTTCCTCCCCCAGCCTTGTCACCTGCTTCTGGGTTAGGAACTACAAAAGACACTGCTCAGGCTATGAACAGTCTCAGCAGGAGACAGCGGGGGCTCTCTGCTATCGCAATACGTTTCCAACAGCCATGTCTTCTCCTTGGTGAGGCTACACACAGAATATTAGAGCTACAGTAAGGTCTGTAAACATCAACAGTTCAGAGAGAGAACCTGACATGTTAAATCAATTTTCCAAAAAGATATAATTAGTCTCTAACAACAACAACAATAACAACAACAACAAAATTACAGCATGATAGGGGCCTGCTCAACTCATTTACCACGAAAATGATCTTCAGTTTATCAAGAACCAATCCAAAAGCCGGATGTAACTAGAATTCCTAACATGTTCATAGTGAGGACACTCAGGCACCCAAAAGGACAATAGTGCCTCATGGCACATCTGTGGAAAGACGTGTCCTGGTGCAGATTCAAGTATTTTCAAATCCTAGATAAACTGACTCTGAATCACTTTAGAGCTTGTCTTGGATATTCAGAGAATTAGACACGTCCATACAATAGAAGTGTGAATTTGAGTGTGCCGCTTTTTAACACACATACATACACACACTCTGCCTGCCCCACATACACACATGTGATCTGTAAGCCAGTCCCCTGCTGGTGGAAGTACTGTTTCTTCTGCAGCTTTCACCTGAGAAGGTAAAGGTGCTGGAACTGCCGCAATTCAGCCTCAAGATGTGTAAGGTAGGCAGGGGACTGGTGGAGATGGTGGCCTCTACCCCAGGAAGTGAGTGTGGACCACAGGAAGGTGATTCATTTGAGGAAGGATCAAGTGCTCTCTCAGCAGGGTAGGAGACAAATGGTCACTGTTCTGTGAGTCAGTGGTCCCACAGGGCACTAGATTTTCCTGTCCCTGTAACATAAAGACCTGGCAAGGAGGTTACAGGAGCACATCTATTCACCGAGCCCCTCAGAGTCCCACCCAGGCCACGCTGGCTGCCTAGATGCCCTGGGCATGGAAGACAATGAGGTGGATCTAACCAGCCAGACTCAACACTCACTCCTAGCTCCTGAGGGGTTGTCCAAGAACCTCACTGGCTGTTGCAGCCCTGTACTGCTATCTTGTAACATAGTTCCCTTCTCAAAGCCACTTCAGTTTAGACTGTCACAGACACACACGGCAGGGCGGCTCAGAGTCAGACGAGACTGTGTGTTCTGAGACAGACATTTAAGCCCTGGAGCAGGCACTGAAGTCGGCTGCTCCCACAGGCACCCAATGCTGGAGGACCTGGGCTCTTCAGGCCACCACGGATCAGTCTCTGGGCCACTCTAGGCACCCTTTCCCAAAGTGAATTTTTACCAAACAGGACAAAATTCAACTGGATCACACAAAAATCTGGCGTGCTGAGAGAAAGAAAACTTGCTTAGAAGAATGGATGTGAGGGCAGCGGAGGGAGGACTCCTGGAGGGTCTCATGTGTCCAGGCGCTGGATCTCGGGGCGACTGTCCACATCTCTGGACTCAGTGCGAGCTCGGATGTAGTCATTAGTGCTCTGCTGGCGGAGGCTGACTCTCCATTTCTGCACGGCCAGGAATGTGCTCACTGCATAGGCTGCTGTTGCCAAGAAGCCAAATATCTAAAACACAATCACAGTTTACCCTTGTACGTGACTCCTGAAGCTGAGGCTGAGTGTTGTCATAGGGACCCCAAGCTGTGTGCAACCCCTTCCAGTAATACCAGATCCCCAGCCCTACTCATGTGTAGCTGTGATCTGGAAGAAGCCACATGACCCACGGAACATCTAGGCTGGCATGAAGACAACTAAAGGTCTTTTGAATGTTTTAAATCGGTTTCTTTTCTTTATTCTTTTTGCTTCTCTTTATAGGCCAGGCTGACTTCGAACTTAAAGCGATTCACCTGCCTGAGCTTCCCATGTGCTGGGATTAAAGGCGGTACCACTACTGCTTGACTATGTTTTGTTTGTTTGTTTTCAAGACAGAGTTTGTCTGTATAGTCTTGGCTGTCCTAGAACTTGTTTTATAGACCAGGCTGGCCTCAAAAGATCTGACATCTGACTGCCTCGGTCTTCCAAGTACTGGGATTAAAGTATGTGCCAACTTTAATGGTTTATTTAATTCTCTCTCTCTCTCTCTCTCTCTCTCTCTCTCTCTCTCTGGGGGCGGGAAAGGACAGGTGGTATGATGGCACCTTGGGTGCCAATCCTCTCGTTTTGGACAAGGTTCTTGTCTTGGGTCATGCTGGCCACCTAGATGTCCTGGGCATGAAAGATAAGGAGGGTGAATCTAACCAACCGGTCATACTCAACACCCACCACAGCTCTCTGGGGGCTGTCCAAGAACCTCACTGGCTGATCCATCCCTGTACCTCTCTACCTCGGGACATGTAGTTTCCTTCTCAATGCTAGTTGACCCCCATGAGATTCTGGGCATTCCTCTCTCCCCATCTTGCCCTAGGACTGCTGGTATTATGGGTGTACCTGTTACCATATCCAGCTTTTCACGGGCTCTGGTAACTGAAACTCAGGGTTTCATGCCTACATGGCAAGCACTATGCCAACTAAGCCAGCCCTCCAGCCCATTATCTTTTAAAAATATTTATTAATATTGTTATTACTATATTATTTTGAGGGTCTCACTATGTGGTCCTGGACCTGGAACTTTCCATGTGAAATTTAAGGAAACCATCCGGCCTCCTGAGTGTTGGGATTAGAGGTGTGCACCACCACACCCAGCCTTGGACTTTTTTTTATTTTGAAATGACAAAAGTACCTCTTTGACTGCATGCAGTTCATGGTCACTGGTCCCACAAGTAAAAATATAATGAAGACCAAAATATGATGTAGAAAGAATTGAGTCTCACAAGAGAACTCGACAGGAAGCCATCCAGCCCATGTTCTGTGCCACCACACCCTCCTACTGCCTCTCACCCGGGCAGCGCCAGGCAGATGAAGTAGGGTTTTAACCTCTTAGTCAAACTTGATGGATCTCCTGACGTGTTGGCTCACACCTGTAATCCTAGCACTCGTGAAGAGAGGCAAGCGGATCTCTGTGAGTTTGAAGCCAGCCCCTGGTCTACAAAACAAGTTCTAGGGCAGGCTCTAAAGCTACAGAGCAAAACCATCTCAAAAAATAAAAAATAAAATGCTTATTACATGCATCTATGCATTATTTTGTGCGTTGGGGTGGGAGGTGTACCACGGCACATAGGTGGTTTTAAGAGGACAATGTGGACCTGGGGATGGGACGTAGGTCATCAGGCCTGGCAGCCAGTGCCTTTACCCGCTGCACCACCATCCTGCTGGCCCCGTTTCCTATCCACCCTCACCCATCACAAGTGATACATGTTCTTAACAAACCAACAGCAAGACAGAGCAGAGCATGGAGAGTGAACCCTTTCTGCTATCTGCCCACCACCCTCATCTCTGCAAACACTTAAAGGAGGGCGACTAGGACACATGCCAGGGGACAGTCTCAGAGGGTGCAAACTCAGCCTATTTAAACCAATCTAGTCTGCTTACCACGGCAGCAATTTCCGCTCCGGTTTTGTGGTTTAAAGCAGCCAGTACAATTGAGGCAATAAAGAAAAAGAAAGTGCTGAGTCCAGTGTTGACCAAATCCTAAAGAAAAAGAAAAAAGTAGGATAATTTGCAAAGTAACCGGAGAACTTTCCAGCTGAGGCTCATGAAGCTCATTTCCTGCGCCTGCAGACGTCATTCTCGGTGTCACGGGGACTGCTCGCTGGAGAGGACGCGAGGAGGAATGGCTCGCAGTATACCTTTACCTCCTGTGTCTTGACTTAAGGGGCAACCAAGACTGGTAATGCTGCTTACCATGCAGAGTTTGGGTGAATTTATTTGCTTGTAGTGCTGAGCATCAAACCCAGATCTTTTACACACACAAGCCAACACCCTGCCACTGAGGGTCCACAGTCTTCCAGTGTCATCTTTTTATTTTATTTTTTAAGACAGGGTCTCTCTATGTATCCTTGGCTGGCCTGAAGCTTGCTATTCAGACCAGGCTAGCCTTGAACTAAGAGATCCCCCTGCCTCTGCCTCCCAAGTGCTGGGAATAAAGGTGTGTGCCACCAAATCTCACTTTGCATCACCTTTTAAAAGAGGTTCTCGTATCATTTAGATTAGGCCCAGCTTCCCAAAAATATGAATGTACTGAAACTGGGGCATCTCCCGGTATTCTCTCCTGTATGCCATCTAAAACATGGCATTCATACACTGAAAACAGACTTTCTTAACAGACTTTCAAGCTTCTATACTACCAAAGCCTGGAGGATTTTCAACAAGCCTTTTGCAAAGTGAGTGAGGTTACGAACTAACCTAGTGCAGCATGGATGTAATTCTGCCTTCCTTGTAGAAAGGACGATAACATAGTGATTCAGAGACACAGCCACACGGGACCCAGTCAGTGGGTGACTTTAGACAAGCTGCACTGTGTCTCCGTGTTCTAAAGTGGTGATAGCAATCTCTTCTTCCTGGAGCTGCTCTGGAGAGTAAATGAATGACCAGCACAGTGTCTGGCCGACAGTTGGGGTCCTTCTTTACGCATTCACCAGCACTTTTGTTACCCCTGTTCTAGCATCAGGTCCTCAGCATCCTGGCTCACACCTCATAGCCTCTGAGTTTCACTGGAGAAGGAGGGAAAATCTAATCTGTTTAAGGGGTTTGTTGACTACACTATCAACACTGGCAGGTCCCTCAGGTCTAGCCTGACTCCTAAAGGTTGATTTTTTTTCTTTATCTTTTTTATTCTATTTTTCTTTTTTTGAGACAGAGTCTCACTGTGTAGCCTTGGCTGGCCTAAAACTCGTTATATAGACCAGACTCAAACTCACTGAGATCTGCTTGTCTCTGCCTCCTAAGTGCTAGGATTAAAAGCACATGCCACCACCCAGTCAGCACTCTATCTTAACAGCACCATGCCTTGCAGCAGAGACCTATAAGCCAGGGCTCCTGCTGAGCATCTGCATGGATTAGAGGAAAGCTGCAAGGCAGGGAGCGTGGGTTCTGTCCAGAGCTGACTCCCAGCCATCATATTATTTAGCACACTAGCAATTGCTGGCACAGGCACAGCCCCGCCTGAATCCGCTGAATCGAGGCATAACCAGGAACACTCGTCTCAATAGTGACCCGAGGGAACTGATGCTTGCCTATAATCTCAGCACTTGAGAGGTGGCGGCAGGAAAATCAGGAGTTTGAGATCATCCTTGGCCACATAGTAAATAAGAGGCCAACCTGGAATACACGAGATCCTGTTTTGAAAATAAAATAAAACCTAGCATATAACTGTCCTCCACTTTCAAAGCTACAACAAAACTAGCTGAGTTTACAACTGACAATTTTTCTAATCAGTACCTCCTGTAGGAGATCTACCCTCACCCTACCCTTTTGTATTTGGCCCAGTGGAATAACACAGGGACTATCTGATAAGAAAGACCTTCCCTGCTTTGTGATCCAGGACATACCATGACAGCAGCCCCACTAAACACACAGACAGCTCCTATTTCTTTCCCCCAGGTACCTGCAGGAACCATGCACCGGCGGTAGAGTCAATGCTTTGGTTCTAACCCTCGTTTTGAACCGTCTTGTCAATTTGGTCTGATAATGCTCAGAACTTGTCAGTCCTGCTTTCCTGAAGTTTGTTGTTTTTTATTTGTCCTTGAATGTAAAGAATTTTTATATCATGGTTTCTTGCTCTTGCTTTGTTGATGTGCGTGTACAAGATCAGAAGGAATCACTGAGGGAGGTACTCCAGAGCATAAGAGTGCCTCACTCTCTCTGCTTGTAAAGGAACCCATAGGCACCACAGCCTTGGGAGAGTGAAAAGGGTTAGCTGAGGTCCTGCCTTCACTCAGGGCTGCAGCCCACACACCCTACCCTAGTGTCTAGGGCCATGGGAAAAGCCCACAACTGTCACGATGTTTTACCATTACGTTAGAATTCACTTTACGAGAGACAGTCCTCTTCCTGGAGAGCCAAGCGGTGTACTCACTGTCAGGTTCCAGTTGATCTGGGGGATCCTCACATGAAGGTTGAGACTGAAGAGAATCAGCAGGACCCCAGTCACCACAAATGCACTGCAGCTTACAAACTCAAAAAAGTAGAGGCCTTCGCACGGAGAGCACTCCATGATGGTCTCGATGCAGATGAATGCAATCAGGGCCAAAACCTAGCAAGAAAATTGGAAATACATGTATGTGTATATTTAGTACACATCTATGGACATGCATGCCTGCTGTATGAACTGAACAGTATACAGCAGCAGGGTTCTCCTCTGCAGAGAGCAGTGTGACTGATAGAAACACAACTAGCCTTATAGGCAGGAACAGACAGAGCAATCGGAATGGAAGGTCAAGTTCTTACAAAAATAGTGAAGGCCCCTCCACTGCTATACTGAAACCAGCCAGGCATGGTGTGGCCCTTCCAGGCGCTTTGGACCTCCAGAAGAAGGAAGAAAGGCAGTATCTCTGCAACGTGTTAGCGTCCTCTTTACAGTAGGGAAAGAGATGCTGTCCAGCCTCTCTTTTCACGTGCTAAGGACAAAGACCTATCCTCATTAGCACACACGCTTTTGGAAAGTGGATCACTGGATTTCATCAACAGGTAGGCTTGTAGTTTACTTTTAAAAGAATAAACACTTTAAATCTTTGAATAGAATCAATTTCTTCTGAAAAGTCAAAGCAACATTCTAGCACTGCATCACCAAAATTCAGAGATCAGAAAACTAGAGATACCAGTAGACATGATCTTATGAACATCTAGGGCTCAGGAGAAAAGGGGGGATCCTAGGCTATGCTAATGGCCCTTCAAGCAAGGGTGCTCTTAATAATGCCAGATCAGTCTTGGGTTCCAAGCCTCTACCTACATAGTTATCCATGTCAACCCTCTACCAGATCCAGCCCCGCTCCACTGAGACACAGGTCAATGAAGCAGAGCAATCTGGTCCAGATTCAGCAACGCAGCAACCCCTTGGGACGACTCAAAATGTGCAAGTTCCGCCTCAGCTCTTGCCCGTCTTTCCCGAAGTCTCATTCACGCCTTTCCAGCCTTTCATACAACGCTTCCTCCCCAAATCCTCCCTGTGTTTTCCCTGCCAGAAATGCTTTAGTCCACTGTCTAGGTGTCTGACCACCTCCCTCTACTCTATGGCACCAAGCACTGTAATGTACAGAGCCAACAGGGAACTTGGTGAGACACAACAGCCTCACACCTACCCTTCCTGAATTTGTCAGACTCTCCCTGTGAAAGGAAAAGTTGGCTCTGTCACTCCTGCTGTCAAACCACCCACCTTTCCTAATCTACATGGTCAGCTTGCTTTTCTATCCAAATCAAACACAGGATATAGGCTTGTCTGTTAAGGGATACAGAATTTCATTTAAGAATTAGTTCAAGAGAGCTATTGCGTAGCATGACGGCCCAGCACCTCACAAGATACCAGTTTTCTTAATCCAATAGAAGACGAAAAAAAAATGATGAATCTCTAAGCACATACTACTTCCAATTCTTTATAGTGTAGACCCTAATTCTCCATCTGAATTACAAGCCTAAATTGCATCAATTCAGTTCATATAAGGAAAACACCAAAATGATATTTTTCTTTTTTTCACCCCTGTAATCAAGATCTACTAATCTTGGGCAAGAAATAGCACTGTGCTGATATTACTGGTACCCTAACTTCGACCACATTTGGGTGGAAAAGTACATTCTTAAAATAAAAATGGTTTAAGAATATGTAAATGTGATAGGCCAATCATTACAACAAGGAATACAACAGACAAGAATCCCTGCGTGTAATCTAATAAATGTTCAAAAGTCAAAAGGGGCAGCTGAACTGATGGTAAGAACAAGAGGAAGAGTATGGCACAGGAGGTGAAGGAAGAGCCAGCAGGCAGCTTGTAGAAGCTGGAGACTTGTGTGGCCTTGGGAGGCTTGGCTGCCAAAGGGGTGGGGAAGCAAGAGAAGGCCCAGAAGGGGAAGCTGTCAAGAGCAACTCTCTGGGGCTGCAGCATGGTGAGAACCAGGAAGATGCCCAGGAAGGAAGGCTAAATGCACAGAGCCAAGGTTTGGGAATGCAGTAGGCCTGTGGTCCTTTTTTCCAGTACCAAGGAAACACGATTTAGGTACAATATGATCTGAGTCTCCTCAAAGAAGACAGCAGCAAGGGGAAGAGGATATTACTACAGAGGCTGAGGAACAGGTGGACGCTCTCTGCAATAACCTGAGGGGGAGGGTGGCACAGACCAAGAAGGTGACAGCCCAGAGAGCGAGCAGGAGTAAGAATTCTAGACCTATGTTCAGGGAGAAGTCCAAGGGATTTGCTAAAATGGGATGTGAAGAGAAATGAGACCACTGTAATGACAGACCTTTAGCCCGAGTGCCTGAAAGAATGGCATGGCCACACTGACAAGGGGAAGCGTGCCAGAAATGAACAGGGAGGGTCGGGACGCTGGCTTAGGGCACACAGTGGCTGAAAATAACCCCAGGATGGAAGAAAAGCTGCGATGGAGATGAGCTTCCAGGATGAGTACCGTCAAAGGAAGGCCTAGAGCTAGGCCTGGGCAATCCCACACATCTGTGGCAGAGAGGACTAGGCCTGGGCAATCCCACACACCTATGGCAGAGAGGACTAGCTGATTTACATTTGGAGTTCAGGTCGCCAGAGGCCAATGGAAACGTGGGATCCGGCCTCCAAGCGGGCCCCAGTCATCCACACCTCTCTGACAGTCTTATTCTTGCTCCTGTGGCACAAAACACAGGGCTGAGCTGTTGCTGATTCCACAGCCTGTGTCAGAAAAGCCGCTGCAGAGGCTGACTCGTTCTTTTTCCCTCTGGGGAGAATGAACTGTGACAGGAGGCCACTGCTACAGAGAGATCCGAAAACCAAAGCTTTCTACGGACAGCCAGGTGAAAAACTACCTTGGAAGCAATATCCCGTCTAGGAACACAGAAGAGAACCACAGCCAACCCACTCTAGAATTCTCGATCCCCAGAAGAAGCTAGGGAAAAACAAAGGACTACTGTCCCAGGTCACTAAGCTTTGGAAGTAACTAGTTATCCAGAAATAGATAGTACAGTGAGGGGACTTCATTCATAATATAGCACCGTTAGCAAGCAGCACCTACTGCTCACTAGGTACCGAGAATCAAGTGTTACACAGGATCACCACTAACACAAGGCCACAGCATAGTGTTGGCCTCGTCACACAGAAAAGGAAACACAAGTTTTAAGAGGTAAACAGGGAACAGGCGGCAGGGCCAGGATTCATAACCAAGACGGGGCCTCAGTCTTGAGTTCTTGATGCCTTACTCCACTACTTCCTATCAAAACGACAACTGACTGCTTATGGATATCGTAACGTGTTCCAAATACAAACCAAAACCACACAGAACAGTGTAAGCCATTTACAAAAATAAAAACATGTTAATAGGGCTGGAGAGACAGCTCAGCAGTTCGGAGTGATAGCTATTCTCGTATAGAACTCTGAGTCCTTTCAGTTCCCAACACCCACACCACGTGGCTCACACTGCCTACAACTCTAGCTTCAGGGGATCTGACACTTGCTAGCCCCCAAGGACCCCTACACATATGTGTCACACACAAACTCATGTGCTGGCACACTTTACCACTGAGCCCTTTCTCCAGTCCAATACATAATTTTATTTCTATGATTAAATTTAATTTGAAAATTTTAAGCAGTATACTAAATATCACAAACTTTGAATACTTCTGAAAATAATTTTGAACATTTTGGGGGAAAATCATAAAGATTTTGCCTCATGCTCATCAAATACGTAGATTTTATGAGTTGCTAATTTTTAATTCTAACATCTCAAGGTCAGTGTACAACATGGATAAAGGGCTTTTTCTTTAATAGCAGTGGGCATAATTCATATCTCTAATAGTCTGTAATTTGGGACTTGTGTTTGCTTCTCTTCCTTTCATACTTGATTAGATCTTCATTCCTTTTGCTTCGTGTGATGACTGATGAAGCACTCATCCAAGAGAGAGGGAGAAGGGTGGCTTAGTCATCTCCATGTTTGCTTATGCTTCTATTGTTAGCCATATTTTCAACCATCCTTTCCTATTCAATTAAAGTCACATACGTTTCCATTTACTTAGCTGTGTACTTGCACACGGCAGGGCTGGGCACTCGCACACGGCAGGGCTGTACACTCGCACATGGCAGGGCTGGACAGTGAGTGACGATCTGCTCTCCGCTTCTCACTTCCTTCCAGGCAGTTTGCAAATGATACATGGCAGAAGACAATCAACTGAAGACAGGGCCAACACTCCCGTCACGTCCACTCCACTAGTGGACACACACCGAGGGAATAAGATAGAGTTCACAGGTAGGAAGAGCTAGCCTGACTCTACATAAGACAAGGGTCTAGGGCTGTAGATCAAAAGTACAGCTTGCCAAGCATCCAAAACAATCAGATAAAAACAAAACAAACAAACAAAAAAAAAAACAAGCAAAAACACAGGACTGTAGTAACTTGGGACTATTAGCGATTCTGCGCTCGAGAGTTTAATCATGCGTTTAACACAGTGTGGAAACAACTAGGAAGAGGTTCTCAGTGAGAATCATCTAGGTCACTGCTTGGTTAGGGTTTCTATTGCTGTGAAGAGACACCATGACCATGGCAACGCTTACAAAGAAAAACACTTAATTGAGGCTGGTTTACATTCCATTATCATCATGGCAGGAAACATGGCAGCATGCAGGCAGACAAGGTGCTGGCGAGGGAGCTCAGAGTTCTACATCTATCTCCTCAGGCAGCAGATGAGACCTATGTCCCTCTCCTGGGTGTTGTTTGAGCATAAGAGACCTCAAGGCCCATCCCCTCAGTGACACACTTCTTTCAACTACTCCAACAAGGCCACATCTCCTAACATTGCACTTCCTTAGGGCCAAGCATTAAAACACACAAGTCTATGTGAATAGGTCATAGCTATTCAAACTACTACATTCCACTCCCTGGCCCCCATAGGCTTATAGCCATAACACATGCAAAATGCATTTAGTCTAACTTCAAAAGTCCCCATAGTCTACCACAGTGTCAAAATATTTAAGTCTAAAATTCAAAGTCTTTTCTGAAATTCATTCAATCTCTTAACTGTAATCTCCTGTAAAATCAAAATAATTAAAAAAGATCACATACTTCCAATGGCATAGGATATGGATTACCATTCCAAAATGAAGGAAGGGGAGCATAGTGAGGAAATAGTTGATCAAAACAAGCCCCAAAACCAGCTGGGAAAACTCCAAACTCTGCATCTCCATGTTGATGTCAAAGCACTCTTCAGATCTCCAACCCTTTCATCTTTGTTGACTGCAACACACTTCTCTCTCTTGGACTGGTTCTGTTTCCTGTTAGCAGCTCTCCTCAGCAAGTATCTCCCAACTCTGG